ATAAAATAGGTCAAACTCTAAAGTCAAAGTCAAAGTTGGTGGTATCCAGGGATTTGTCTTTTCACAATGCATACACATGTGAAGTAGGAAAGCCCTAGCACTAACTGTTCAAAACTTATGGGTTTTTTTTTTCAAAAGTATGTCAAACTCCAAGGTCAAGGTTTATGGGTCAAAGTTGTTGGTATCCAAAGAAAGTTCTTATCACAAGAAAAAACACATGTGAAGTTTGAAAGCCCAAACACCAGTTGTTCAAAAGTTATGGCCAAGGTTTAAAGTCCCATAAAATTTTGCAAAAGTGGGTCAAACTCCAAGGACAAAAGGTCAAATATGACGTTGGAAGTTAAGAAAGGTCTTGTCATAAGGAATAGCCGATGAAGTGTGAAAAACCTAATACTATTTGTTCAATAGTTATGTCGAAGTTTAAAAATTTCTCAAAATTAAAGTAGGTGAAACTCCAAGGTCAAGGTCAAAAGGTCAAAGTTGTTGGTATCCAAAATAAAGGTCTTGTCACAAGAAATTCACATGTAAAGTATGAAAGCCATAGCACAAATTGTTCAAAAGTTATGGCCAAGGTTAAAGTTTTTTCAAAAGAAGGTCAAACTCCAAGGTCAAAGTCAACTGGTCAAAATTGTTGAAATCCGAAAAAAGGTCTTGTCAAAAGAACTACACATGTAAAGTTTGAAAGTCCAAGCACCAACTTTTCAAAAGTTACGGCCAAGGTTAAAGTCTCTGAAAATTTTTCAAAAGTGGGTCAAACTCCACGGTCAAAAGGTCAAATATGATGGAACTAAAAGAAAGGTCTTGTCACAAGAAATACACATGTGAAAAATGAAAGCCATAGCTCCAACCAATCAAAAGTTATGGTTAAGGTTTAAGTTTTTTGCGGACAAACACAGACAGGCAGGCGGACGGACAGGGCAAAAATTATATGCCCCCGAATCTTCGATTACGGGGCAAAATAAAGTTAGTAAAATGGAAAAAGATAATATCAATTAAAGAAATTGGCATTTTTCATGTACTTTCAAAAACGAAAAAAAAAAGCAAACAAAATAAGGGAGGTGACATAAATCTACTTCTGCATCTATTGCAACTGCGGGATTTTGAATAAAGTATTCCTCCCTGATATTAGACTGTAGCTTACATATCACATTAACTATTAGATAAATGAGTGGTAAAAAGTAAATTCCCTGCGCTTGCGCGGGATTCATGTACATGTAGTTCATATCCAAATCCATGTTATATTCTTTCATGTTTCAATCAGTATTTCCAAATAAATATTTTTATAAAACTTTGGAATACTGTTGTCTAAAAAAAATAATTTGAATAACATTGCTTTGTGAGCTAGTTTTTATTACACGTCAGACAATGCGCCATAGTCAGATATTTCCCGCCACTATGTAAATAGCTCTTCTACAGATTTGTCGTTCGTTTCCTTCTCAGTGTTTATAGGTGACGCTGCGCTACAAATGAGGTCCTTTACGAAATTTTCTTCCTTTTTATGTTTTGTACATATCAATATTAATGTAATCGAAATCTAATCTTCAAAGTAGGATAGATACATTATAACATTTACTTACATATCAGTATCAAAATTAAATTAGTTCCGAAAAGTTACAGGGATTTTTTTAATGGCGGATGTTTATAGATTGATTGATTGTTTGTTTGTTGTTTAGCGTCCCTCTCGAGAATTTTTCACTCATATGGAGACGCCACCACTTGCCGATGTAGAGCTGCAAATTTTGACCTATGTTCGGCACTTAGGGCCATTGAGCAGTGAGGGATCTTTTTCGTGCCAGCACTTGCTGCGACACGGGACCTCGGTTTTTATGGTCTCATCCGAAGGACCAGTCTTCACGTCCCACAGTGAGATTCGAACCCGCGACGTAAAGATCAGTTCCTTACTCAGCGACTCTAGGATGTTTATAGAATATCACAGGGGTAAATTAGCCGACACAGAAGCCCAACTGACAGCCGCTATATATAATCAATACAAATTACTGTGCATGGAAATCTCGTGATGACCAAGGGAGATTGAACATAGTTCAACTTCCAAAAACCTTTCAATATGGAAGTAATTCAGTTGTTTCTATTAAAACTGTTATACAATTTACAGAAACTTAAAATTATTTAATGCCTTTAATAAAAGCTTTTTTTCATATATTACTTCACTTAATATAAGATATGTCTTAATACTTTGGGGTAAACTCGTAAGAGAAAATCAAACGAGAGTCTCCTCGATGTTTTGCAGTCGGTAATAACCTTCAACCCTTTTAGTCAGCAATGAAGCCGCCCATCCAGTGCCCATCGTGGCATAATTAGGTCGAAAATTATGGCGGTCTACAAATGTTCATGAGGGGTACTATATAATTAATACAAAATTGTTCAACTCCAAAAAGTAAACATAAAGTATAAATCACGATTGCAGGATTTACCGACGAGTTTATACTCTGCAGGTAACACCTAAAATTCAAGCCGAGCGATTTTTCCGGGTATTGGACTGTCAATGTCAGATGTATATTAGAGGTAGCGATGGTAAACAGATCATAAGTAGCGCTTTGACGAAGCTTCCGATGCCAAAAAATTACGTAAGACCTTTGGTTACATGTTATAAAGCAATTGGCGTATACGCTAACCGCTTAAAAATGGAAAAACTCCATAAATGAGATAAACTTCTTATCAACGAGGATAAATTTTATTAAATCATAAAGAAGAGTAGATTGAGCTTTTCAATTTATCATGAAAGTATGGAATCCGGTTAGTGCCAAGAACTTCATCATAGAACTACAGTACCATCAAGGTCTAGATCTTAGCGCGATGACGATATAGTGCGATGACAGTGACACAGTGGTGCAATATATAGCACGATGACGATGATGCAATGGCGCGATAATGCGATAATATGATGAAGCAATTGTCATTGCATTATCGAGTCATTGCATCCTCGCCATCGCTCTTAACAGCATGGCATCACCTTAAAGCACTATAGCGTCATCTTTATCGCACAATAGCCTCACCGACTCTTAAGGTGATGCGCAATGGTACGATAGTTAAGTGCGTTGTCCTATCCGCAGTCCACATGAAAAGTAGATTAAATTCACTCAACCACCAGGATTGTTACAAAGATCTGATAACGCATACAGCTCAACTAGGTATGGTCTAATTAGCGTAAGTGAGCATTTTGACCCACGTGACTTTTTTATTTATAAATTAACATCTTTCTATTTTTTAAGTATAATGAGCCTCTGAAAAGAGATAGCACCGTTTTTTTTTTTTGTTTTTTTTTTGTTTTTTTTGTTTTTTGTTTTTTGTTTTTTTTGTTTTTTTTTTTTTTTTTTTGTTTTTTTTTTTTACGGGGGGAGGGGGGTATTTTTTCTCGCATAATCACCAGTGTAAGATTGACTTGTCCGGTGTGAGACAGCAGTGTGAGATTTTTCTGTCTTACACTGTGTATTACTACGCCGATAACGTAAACATTCCGTCTTTATATAAAGAAATTGTAACAATGTTAAAAAATATTACATATACTTAAAATGTTGTCATTTAACTTATTAAGATAAACTTATTTTTATTCAAAATATTGTCGTATTTTCACTTTTTAAATGGCACTATTTTTAGATCGCGAAAGGATTCTTCTTGAATGAATGTTTACGCTATCGGATAGATAAGTTTTTTTATTCCCAGTTTTTATCTATCTAATTAATTTACATGGACTGAAAGAACTACGCACGCTAACTCTCGATTCCCGCCTACATTTTACAACCAATTAAATCAATACTAATGGCAATTTGGCCGTAAAATCTTTGTTGAATGCAAAGAACAGTTCAATGTTAATTGACTGATAATTTTGATTCCAGAGTTAAATAATTAATTACCCTTAATTCCAACTAACTAATTAAGGGGGGTTGACGATATTTTTCATTGAAATTGGGCTTTAAAGTATCACCACATTTTAAAATATTCTTGGATATGAATAAATGTTCCTTAAAACTTTTCTTGTGTTTTACTCATATAAAATTAAACATGTATTTTCAATAAAATGCGATGCTTTAGTTGTAAACCCCTTTGAAATTGGGGAAAAAATAAGCATTTTTGTAGGTTTTTGTCTGTAGACATATGTTCCCCCCCCCCCCCCCCCCGTGAAACACAAAAAGATTTGGCATGAGTTTGTGAAACAATAGTCCATATTACCTGTAAAAAGGAATTTTTGTTTCACGGGGGGGAAGATGTTTTAAAAATATTTTCCGTTTTCCGTTGATTTCTATAGTGAAAAACACAAGTTTTACAAAAATTATAGAGTTATCTCTCTTTGTTTTCCCAAAGAAACAATGTTTTATGAAAATTCATATAAATATCTATATAGATATGAAAAATCATTCAAATGTGTTAACTTTTGAAAATTGACTTGGAGGTAGGCGGGAGAACAATGCTATCGTTCGCAGTTCTTCATTTTATCAGTTTACACTATGTGTAAACCATTTTCAGGTACGCTCTCTCCGATGGTATATTTAGAGTTTTAATTAGATGGAAAATTTTAAAAAAGAATATATTTTTAGCCCTATCATGGCGACGTCATTGACAGGCCGTTATTTTGGATAAAATAATGCGAGAAAAATAATCATTCATTACATACTCGTGTGGGAATAGTGAAATTCCACCTCGGGGTCAAGATTCAGGGTCTAGGACTCGGCAAAGCCTCGTCCTAGACCGTGAATCTTGTCCCCTTGGTGGAATTTCACTATCCACACTCGTAGTAATGAATGATTCTATTAATCTTGAAAAATATAAATAGCATCACCGGTTTGACTAAATTTACCATGCAATATTAAGATTTTTTTTATGTTTAACAAGCATAAGATTTGGAACATTAATGCAGCATTTAACAATCATCAGTTGACCTTGTAATCATTACATTATATCTGTACGTACAGGATTGGATGTTGTATATTAGATTATGGTTTTGAGAATTCAATTAAAAAAAGAAATAAAAAAAATATATTGACCTTCCGTTTCTATTGATAATCATTTCTGTTCCCACTTTCAAAAACTTGTACCATAGTTTTGCTTCTGCCATTGACATCGTGACGAGTCCATTGATAAGTTGAATACAGTTGTCATTTTTATCAGCAATATCATCCCCGGACCCTCCGGCTTCCGTCAAAAAACTTTGCACGTCTGAATAGCCTGACGAGCCACTGGACATTGAGTACAGTTGACTTGTATTCATATCAGACGACTGCAGCTCCATTTCTGATGATGGTGACTCGGACGATGATGCAGAGGATGAAGATATGTTTGATGAAACTCTTTTGTTTGAGTTTTTCTTTCCTTCATTTTGCAAAATTTGCTGTTTTTCATTTGCTTCTCCAGAATCTTGGTGAGCACTATTATGAAAATCCATACCTAGAAATTGTGAAAGGAAATCACAAAATTCTCTTCATTGAATGCTAATTATAAGGTAAGTATCAACATATGACAGCAGATTTTTTTTAATTCCAAATAATATATAGTAATTGTTACAACTGAAATTTTCCTCTTTTTTCTAGATAAAAAAATAAGCATCATTGTATATTCCCCAAACATCATCTGCGTTTTATAATACAAAGACTACCATTTACTGGTAAATAATTATGACAATTATTAATTCAATAAAAAGTTTTGTTTGTTTGTTTATTGTTTAACGTCCCTCTCGAGAATTTTTCACTCATTTGTAAACGCCACCAATTGCCGGTGGAGAGCAACAAATTTTGACCTATACTCGGCACTTAGGGCCATTGAGCAGTGAGGGATCTATTTCGTGCCAGCACCTACTGCGACAAGGGACCTCGATTTATACGGTCTCATCCGAAGGACCGGTCTCCACGTCCCACAGTGGGATTCGAACCCGCGACGTAAGGTTCAACTCCTTACTCCGCGACTCTAGAGCGAACGCTCTACCCACTGCGTCACGCTGGCGACTTCAATAAAAAAGAACCGATATTTTTCTTTTTTAATTTTTTTAAACTATCACTATCAAAGTAATGTAAAAAAATTAAATATACATTTAAAGTAATGGAGGTTATACTTTTCCATCCCAAATACCTGATAACCTGCAAAACTTGATCTCTTCACCCTTTTACTTATTTTATTTTCTTTAACCTTTTTTTATCTTTAAAAAAAACTTTTATGTTTTTGATTTAAATATAGAAAGCTAATGAAAGCTTAAGATCAGACTTCCATTTTCTCTCAATTTCGATATATATGGGTAAAATATTTTGAATTCTGCTCCCTGATCTCTAAACCTGTTTTTCGAGCTCTATCGAGCCCCAACGCCTTTTGGACACTAGGTAAATTGCGATACCTAATGACACATCTAAAACACTCTTCTGTAATCGCTGAAAGTTTAAACTTGGTATATCTTGAATGATTTAGAGTTTACTCCTGGACAAACCAAACCTCTAAAAATAAAATAAAAATTAGCTGAGGATAATTAATGATGTCATCAAAACAAAGGAAAATCTGGAAAATTCGATTATATATCAGATCTTAAAATTAATCGCAAATCCATCGAGTCGTTTTAAAAAAATAATTAAAAATGAAACCAGACAAAGAAAACTATATGTAGTTAAATTATTCAAGATATTCAAACTTTTTAGTCAAAATTACCAAGATAATATTATTTAAAGCATTTTAATGCTTGAGGACTTGTACAAATGAAAAATGTTTTTTTTTCCTACTGTGAGAAAATGTCATCATATGAAAAGGGAAATCCTCAAACTGATAAACATTGGATCAGTAAGTACCGAAAAAGCATGAAGTGTATTTATAGTCTAGTTGTTTCTTAAGGATTCATGAAAGGTGAGTGCATTATACATGCATGCTTTACTATTGACCTTATCATTTTCATTGCAACATTCGATGATTTCAGGACGCACTTATCAAAGCAAGGCTACTCTATCTCAGAAATTAATCTTACTATCAAAGAAAAGATCAACAAAAATCAATCAAACCTCAAACTTAAAAACACTTCAAAACAGCTATTAATCACTACAGAAATGATTTGTATTAGAGATTGAAAACACAAATGCGGAAATGCTGGAATATCATTCTTACGAGGGTTGTTCGGAAAGTTCGTAGACTATGCCGATCTTCGTTATACTATATTCAAGAAATTTAAAATGAGCACATTATCATATGTTAAAATGTTTATTTTGTTTAAATGTGAAGTTTCATTTCATGATTTAATAGAATTCATGTTAATATTTGATTTTAAAATCAACACGTTCTGTAACCAGGGAGCAAACTCAACAACACTGTAACGTCAAAACATACCAAAATGAGGTTCTCAAAAATACTATCCCTATACATTTCACATGTACACAGTATGCCCAATACCAGTGCACTCATTAACAACTTTTCTCTATCACTTGAAATCTATTTTGCTAAGAATTGTTCCAGTAGCATCATTTTGTTTGTCAATGTTATATTTTTTCACTGCATAAGTGGGATTTCACAAGATTAGCATCTGTGAAGCGCCAACTCTTAGCATGACGTTACTAACTTTTCAATGTTTTGGTCAGATTTTTACAGATAATCCGTTTTCTCACAGATCACCATAGTCTAAGCAGAATAGTCTATCATTCAAATACTGCTTGTGCCATATACACACACATACATGGCTCGCTTTTGACATATTTCCTACTTCCTCCGGCATTTTTGGAATTTTTTTTCTGGGGTTTTTCAGAGGACAACACAAAATTGTATGGTTAACTGCTGCTCCGTGACGTTACACAACGTCATCTTTTTTTGCCTTTTTCAATGAGGACTTCATATCTTCTAAAACTGATTTTTCAACGAAGCAAATACTAAGTCATAATTTAGAATCAGAAACGATGAAACAATTCTTAATTTGAACATGTTAATTTTTTTTCTTTTTCTGTCATTTTATAGAAGATATGACTTCAGAAATTATTTAGTGTCTTGATTGTACATTACATAATTTTGAACTGCTCCATGATCCGATTTTCGCATTTTTTAAGTCTAAATAAGTTTGAAATAAACCACTTAATTAAAAAAATTTAATACACATCATTTCAATTTACTGTTGAAATATTTCTTCCAAATTTGGGTATAATATGACGTTAAGTAAAAAAAAAATGTTATGACGGTAGTCCACGAACTTTCCGAACAACCCTCGTATAAATATTAAATGCTAAACGCTGTTCCATCATTTTTGATCGATTATCGTTTGCAGCTAACACTAGAGCATAGGTGATGAGATAATCAGGTTTCACTTAAAATAAACAGCATATGACTTAGGGTAGACCTTTGATGAGAAGGGCCTCTCAGATAAGTCAATTAACCGCCGAAATTCTCTCCAACTATGTGCATAATTTTACTGCAATTTGCTATATACCAAAAATCATATATTCTACTAGCGTGGATTGGAGTGTCGGGTACAAATAAATCTCTTACAAGTCTGGTTTGTTGATGTTGCAAATTTTCACAAAGAGAAAAAATAATAATGATAATGATTAAATTGATGACGGTGGTAATGATAATAATAGAAATAAGCAAAGAGAAAATATTATGCTCCAAATCTTCTTTTGGGAACAATAATAAGTAAATCATATAAAGAATTATCTTTAAATTCAAAATATTTAGTACACCTAATCAATCGATGAGTGCTTAAAATCATGATAATTATAATAAATTGAATCTTAAAAAATATTTTTTAAAACTTTTTTTTTCTTTTAGAGAAAACACTAGTTCATTACTTACCTGTACGGAGTGACATGTACTGAACAAACAGAAGCCTTTAGATATCACATTTATATAATATTTCATTCAATTAACACATTGTCTTGCGAGAAACGGAGCATGTGGCATATTTCTTTAAATATATAAGAATTAAAGGTGTGATTAAATGAGTCACCATGGTAATATTATTTATCTGATGAAAAGCACACTCCATTCTTAGGTTTACCAAGTACATTATAACAAAGCAGTTGTCAGAAATAGCTTTTAAAGCCTAGTTCCCTTTCCGAAGCAATGAGGTGTTCACTTATAGGGAACTCTGAAATTCGGAAGCCTAATTTCCTTTTCGAAAAATAAAGTGTACACTTATAGAGAACTCTGAAGTTTTGAATCCTAATTCCATTTCCGAAGCAATGAGGTGTACACTTATGGGGAACTCTGAAGTTTAAAAGCTTATTTCCGTCGTAAGCAATAAAGAATACAACTTTAGGGAACTCTGAAGTTTTGGAACCAAGTTCCCTTCCTGAAGCAATAAGATGTACACTTATAGAGAACGCTGAAGTTTTGCAAATTCTGCGTTATTAAAAGATAATTTTTTAATTGATTTATTGTTTTTATGTCAACTCGACATTTAGATATATCGACGACGTATTGTCAATTAACAATGGCTATTTTCATTCAACACAATTTATCATTGAGTCAAATGCTGACTGACGTTTTCATACTAATTGTTAGGCCATTATTTACACACTGAATTGTCGACGGATTTTTCCGTTATTTCCCGATCATGACAAGGAGCACACGGCGGGTGTGACCGGTCGGCAGGGGATGCTCACTCCTCCATGGCACCTGATCCCACCTCTGATGTTTGGAGGTCCGTGTTTGCTCTGCTCCTATTTTGTATTGTATAATGGACTTTTGAGCTTGAATACTGTTCGTTATCTCCAATTATTTCATTTTATCCTTTTTGACTCGTTACCTCGATCTATTATTAATTCATACTTTCATTATTGTTCTTGTTAAGTAAAAGTTCACATAATACATTAGTATATAAACTCTAAATACTAGACCTCCTGTTCAATATCAAGACATTTTGTTAATAAAAAATAATCTCTTTAACAGTATAAAATATTACATAATAAAAATCCAATCTCTTATATAGAATAATTCTTCGAAAAAATTTAAATGTTAAGAGTATTTTCAAAATATTTTTGATTACAGGTTTTTTAACCTGACCTTTGACATTTAAAATATTTTATTGACTTTGAACCTTAAAGGTTATGTTTTGATACCACAACGATGAAATTTTATACAGTCTTTGTATCGTAAAGGAATAGATGGGAAAACAAAATATCATGCTTCTATTATTTTCTGTTTACTTTAAGAATTGACGTTGGGTTTTTCTTACCTTCCGTTCTATACCAACATTTACCAATATTTCAAATGAGATTTTGTTTTTAAATTGATAAACTAGCAAGATATCACTGAGCACTTTAAAAAAATATCAGAATCATTTCATGTTAATAAGCATAGGTATAAAAGGCAAGTTTAAATTGATTTATTTAACGATTATTTTCCATGTCTATTCCATATCCAAAGAGATGTAAAACAATAAGCTGCACACCTTTTCGACGGCATATATTGTTTGTAAAAAACATTGAAAAT